TTTTCAAGCCACAGGTACAGATGGCTTGCCAAACCAGATATTTCTTTGCGAACTTTGACAGTTTCATGTGCTTGAAAACATCTGCTACCTTGCCCCTTCCTTTTGCCGTATAAAACTCCTGTCCCGGAAGCTGCTTGTAGTCGGCTTTGACGTAGGTTTCGTCGTCCATTACCACGCAGTCAAACTTCGTCAGCATCGTCGTGTACAGCCTCCGGGATCGCGCTTTGGCCGTCGTATTTTGTTTATCATCGCGATTTGGAGTCACTACCTTCTTGTAAGTCGATAGTCCGGCTCGTTTTTTGGCTCGATGCACGGTTGTAGACGATACACCCAGCTTATTTGCGGCATCTCGGAGAGAGAGGTTAGGGTTTCGCTTGAAACTACCGGCAACTCTCTTTGTCGTCTCAGCGGCTTCCGGTTTTCGATTTCCCCCCGATCCAGACTTCCTGGCTGTCGACAAACGTTCCCCAAACACTTTAATTACATTTGTAACGGTTGATTTGGCAACTTTTAGCGATTTTGCCAACTTTGCGTGCGAGTAGCTCGGATTTTCGCGATGCGCGAGCAAAATTTTGATACGCTGCTCTTCTTGCTTGGACGGCATTTTGACAACTGAAGAGTGAATTCCAAAATCAAAATAGGAGCAACATTCTACACACACACACCTTCAAAATGAGGGGTGTTCAGGTTTTTTAAATGCAAAATTGAAAGAAATACGTCAAGTTGATATTGACCAAATTTTGACCGTATCACCCTTTACATCGACTTTTCGAAAGCGTTCGACACCGTCCCGCATGCCTATGCCACAGAAAAAGTGAAACACATGGGATTTCCGGATTGGATTTCGGACTGGATAAGGTCATATCTAACGGGTCGAAAGGCATTTGTGCAAGTGAACTCGTCTCGTTCCAATACGTTCGACATACCATCTGGCGTACCACAGGGTAGCGTGTTAGGACCTATGCTCTTTGTCCTCTTTATTAACGACCTGTGCCTTCGAATATCCTCTGGAAAGCTCCTTTATGCTGATGACCTCAAAATCTTCAGAATTATCACGTCTGTACTCGATTGTTTTGTACTGCAGGCTGACATCGACGTAGTGTCAATCTGGTGCAAAGAAAATGGTATGAGCGTGAACATCAATAAATGCAAAACGATCACATTTAGTCGCTGTTTGTCAACGCTCACTCACCAATATCGAATTGACACTACTCCGCTAGAACGTGTGCAATTTATTCGCGACTTGGGAGTTATAATTGACTCTAAACTTAGATTCAGCGAACATGTCCCCACCATGACAGCAAAAGCTTTCTCTGTACTCGGGTTTATTCGTCGTAATGCTTCTCAACTAACCGATGTGTACGCATTAAAATCACTCTTTTGTGCTTTAGTGCGCAGCATTCTGGAATACGCTGCCTCGGTTTGGGCACCATATCACCCGTCCCAGGTGATCCGCATTGAACGTATACAAAAAATGTTCATACGATTTGCTCTCCGGAACCTACCGTGGAATGATCCCGTGAATCTTCCTGATTACCAACAAAGGTGCCGTTTAATCAACTTAGAGTTGCTATCAGTGAGACGGCTAAGATTGCAACAATTGGTTGTATTCGACATCCTGATGAACAACACCGACTGTCCAGATCTTCTACAGGAAGTTATGCTTAACGCACCTCAGCGCCAATTATGAAACTCTGCCCTTATTGTCATTCTCAGTCACAGGACTAGTTATGGGTTTAATAGTCCGCTAAGTTCCTGTCTTAGAGCTTTTAATGCTGTTTGTGATGACTTCGATTTTAATTTAACAAGGCTCTGTTTTAAAAATAGGTTAAGAGTAAATGTGATAGGTTAAGATTAGTCTGTGCGAAACCGTCGAAGACTGAATAAATAAATAAATAAATAAATAAATAAATAAATAAATAAATAAATAAATAAATAAATAAATAAATAAATAAAAATTCAGATTTTTTTAGGTGTGTGAGAACGATTTTTCTATCTTCATAACTACACACTTCGAAAAAGTGGTGTAAATTGTTGTTACTAAGATGTACATAAATGAAGCAGCATATATCATGCAAATTGCCGGCGCCGGTGGTGTAGTGGTAAGCGTGACTGCTTTCTAACACCCCGATGAGTCTGGGTTCAATCCCAGCCGAGGTCGGTGGGATTTTTCTGAGGCATAAAAATCTCTGGTCACGTCTTCCTTCGGAAGGGAAGTAAAGCCGTTGGTCCCGGCCCATGTGTGTTGAATGGGTGCGATATTCTACGCAGGTGTGGAAGCTGCCTTCCTGCACATTCGATTGCCGTCAATGGATGGCAATCGATGTCCGTCGGTGATTGGCACTAGATTGCGGAACAGAGACCGACGTTAAATAAAAGAAAGATGTCATGCAAATTTACATTTTAGATCGTGTAAAGTTATGAGACAATACATGAAATATTTAAAATATTGTATGCATCCATCCATCTTTGCATGCAAGATTTCTTATCAGTTGCTTCTTTCCGTGTTTACGTGTCGCATGCATGGATGTTTACATCACCAGTAAAATTAAGGCTTTTTTATCTGTTTATCTTATTCAATGGCTCATAAGTACGTAAGAAATGCTTTTTAAGAACCTCAGTTTCAGTGAGAATTGCTCACTTAAAATATTTTGTGAATAGATCGTCCATTTATTACTTTCAGTATTTTTTAAGCAGATTTTATAAATTTGTATTGACGATGGAAAGGGTGGCTGAGATTTTTAGTGCTTCCGTTGATAAAGCCGTTCCGGGGACTCAAGGAAAAACAGTCGTAATTTATTGAAGTTCCGACAATTTCTTCAGCTTCGTAGGTTCCAAAAGCGTCAAGAATTACAAAGTTGTCAGACATTCTTGTTTTCCGTGAGAGTGTTTTAGGAGTTTGTGGAGCGTCGGAAATTGGCAGTGTTTGTTAAGGAAATGCCACTTGCTAAAGTAAATAATTATTTCCATTATTTTGATTTTTATCATCAAATTTTGAGTGAAATCCTAGTCAATCATAAGTTGACGCATTCTGATGCAAATGCTATCTTTGAAATCTGATTGGAATACCCAACCAACCAAGTTACCTCTATGGAATAACTGTCTTAGAGCGTATACCGGGTATCCTGCCAGTTAGTCATTTGACCAACTTGTGCAGTATTCGTACAAGCTTGATAATGATTCAACTGATTCTGAAGCGCTGTTGTTATTAGTTATATTCTGTACTCTATCCAACTGATCCCCATCCGGGCTTCTACCAAGCACCTCTACACCTAACCTGTAGCATAGTACATCTATCATGTTCTCGGAGATTAATTGTTTCAGCTACGCTACATATGTTCGAGTCTCGTATGAGTCGAATGCGCACAAGTCGGTACCCACATATCATTGTTCTTGGCAAACGTCTAGCAGAGCCTGGCAAATAGTGCAAGCGCACTTTACTCCCAAACAGTAATGACTGTAACATGTGTATGCCGCACCATTAATCGTGCAAATGACGATGACGGATCTTGCTGCACCGAATCTATAGAGATTCGGCTAGCGATAGGGAACGCGTGAGACGCTAGAGGCGTGTCTACATGTTCTGTATGTTTCAAAACGAGCGTAATTGGATCATATCATGTCTGGTTGATTCGGGAGGTTGTTGAACTCGAGTCCTCTTACGAGGAAAATCGGTTGGATCACCACCTGTAGGGTGCGGAAAGGTGTGAAACCCCCAATCGTCATCGCACCGACAGCAGGAGAGTAGTATTTTGTTTCCAAAGCAATAAAACTGCTGGGCGGCTTAAATTTAGAACCGATTACAAATTTGGAGTGCCGAAAATATGGGTTGAATGATACCAAGGAAAAAACAAACACGGACCCGACTAAGCGATGAAAGATTTGTGATGTGTTTGTGTGCATTTCGTAATTTCGTTTGGACCACGTCGCCAGGTGGTGGGAACTCATTGCGAATCCGGCTGTAAAATTTGGTTACACTGCTTCGCGGAGAAAGCGATCCCGCTCGCGAAAACTCGCAATTAATGAAACACGAAAAGCGGTTTATCGTTTCGCAAAGTTTTGCGAAATGAACGCGAGAACATTTTCGCCACATTTTTTAAATGTTTTATGCCCACTGCCGCCAGCAACGCCCCGAGGGGTCTGACAGGTGGCGCCAGGTGGGCTGACACTGATTGGAAAATCGTGTGTGGAAATGGTTGCTTACGCATGATGCCATCAATATGCGGTGCAGATTTGTTTGTCTCTCTGGGAAATGAATCATCAGTTCGTTTGTTGTGGCAGGTGGCTGACGGGTTGCCAATGTCCGTCATCTCCTGATGAACTCCCATCTTTCGGAAAACCGGCGTCCAAATTGGCAAAGTGGGATGATGATCAACAAGTTGGGCGCACACGACCATAGTCGTCATCTTGGTGCCGCGGTGCCGGATGTCAACAATTTGCCGGATGGGTTCCTTTGATCTGCTTTTGTTGCTGCCGCCGAAGGAGAAAGAATCGACTCGCGTGGAAAGGCTAATCTACTGTGAGTGCGCACTACGCCATCCGAATGGCGATTGACAGACATCGCAGCGAGCTGGCGTCCGTGCCGCTGTATGTGCGGAGAACACAGTTTCAAACCGGCTTATTTATTGAGTTGAAACGAATATTTTTAGATTGGAGGAAAGTCAAGCAGAATAAGACGACGCGTTATGGAAATCCAATGCCACAACGACGAAGAGGACGATTATTATTAATGGTTGGACGTCAGTCGTGTAACGGTTTTTCCTAATGTTTTTTGTTGGGGTTGAACTGTTCAGTGGGGGGGGGGGGGGGGGGAGAGTATAATGACGGAAGTGACGGAGGGAAATTGTGTCAAGTGTCGGTATTAAATTTCCACCAATAGCAGATGGGTGTTGTTATAACAAGCTTTGAAAAGAAACTTTTCGACCGTTTGCGTTTTATGACTTGTATGAGTTTTTGCTTAAAAAGGTTTTTTTATTACAGGAATTGCGATGTACACTTACTTGCAATCTGCTCTGCTGGAAGATCATCCTGTAGGATAGAAAATATTTATTCATTAGATGTTTTTTTGACGGAAATTTCCCGCTGTTCATGGAGACGCATGGTGGTCGGTTCAACAGGAGCAATGTTTGGAAAGATTGTCGGATGATGGAGACTTCGTTAATTGATCTAACGGTTGATTTAAGATTTTTGTTAGCTTCGTTTATACATACATGCAAGATGATATCTTGTACCGGTTTTTTCATACTGAATTCTGAAGCATTAATATTATTATTATTAATATTATTTAAATGACGTAGGGTAGAGCGCTACTTCGTCGTAATCGCCCATTTCCGTTCTATCGATTAGAAAAGATCTATAATATCAATGATTTCACCGTATACAAATCAATAATAGGTTTGTTACGATGCGTTAGTTCATTAACTACAACATAAATGTATGAATATTTACGCTAATTGTTCTCAACACAAAAGAAGCGCTCCTAGCGAATCCCCTTTTTCTACGTTTATCCTTAGGACGATGAAAATCTAATGGCGTTTCAATGCGTTAGGACGAATTTAGAATCAAGAATATCTCAACAATTTGTAATCAAATCCAACGGTACGTATGGAAATGTGATTAAATTTAGAAGTCATGATTCACATTTTTGCTAACATTCAGCCATTTTAGATCTTTAAAATTTTCAAAATGGAATCCTTGAAATTAAAAAAAAGGTTGCACAGAAATGGCATTTCTTATCGAAATGACGTCTGAGACAAAGTTGTAGCGATAAATAATGTTTTTCTGGGAAAAAATATACAATGCTTAAAAGATAAATAGCTCAATCAACATTTCTGAAAATTTCTAGCTCTTGCAAACTGATGTGATGTGATGTGAATGGAACCCACCATAAGTGCAAGGATTACCAATGTCTGCAGATACTTTACCGGTTGTAAAACTCTGCCTGATGGTTTATTGTAGCAGGGTGAATCAGCTCCATTGAAGACCTTTGGAAGACAAAACGACCAGATGGCCATCTGTAATCACGTGACTGGCAAATCCACGAACCCTCGTCCAGTCAACAAATCCTTTGATTCCCTCAGGCTGCCCCCCCAAATCAGCATATAATATAATGTTTTAATTGTATATATGGATTACAGTAATGTTCCACCACATGTTCAAAATTGTGCAGACATTTGGCGTTCAATGATGATTTCAAATACACGAAAAATGGGATGTGTGGAGAAAACTCCATTTAGAATTTGCCAAATTTAAGAGAATCATGTAAATTTAGTTTTTAATAGATAAAATCAGACACGATCTCACCAAGTTAGTCCAAATGAATCCACAGGAATCATCCGTGCTATTGTTGCATTGTAGTTCCAATCAAAGACGGTTCGCTTGATGGAGATTGACATTAACTAGTCCCGTCTTATGTAAAACCAATTTGTAGTGTCCAATCGTCCAAAATGTTAACCGGATTAATAACCAAATAAGCATAAAAAACTCCGAGAAAAAAAAACAAAAAAACGAACGTCATGTTTGTTCACACGCGCAGCCTACTATGTGAAAATTTCTAGCAAACTTTTGAAATGTTAAAAATTGACAGAAGTCTTAGAATAATAACTCTTTTTAAAACGTTTGTTTCATTTAATTTATACTCAGAAAACAATATTTGAAATATTTTCTGTGAAAAAATATACAAAAAAGCGTACTAACTAAATTTTTAAAAATTTTACCAAAAGTTGTCAGTCGATTTTTGTCAGATTTCAAGTGATCATGTTTTTGAACATTCCAAAAGTTTGCATTTACTGAGATATGTGGGTTTTATTTTTTATTTTTCATTTTACTGAAAATAAATAATAAACATTTGTTGTTTATTGCTCCCAGAAAGATATTATTTTTCTACAACTTTGTCTTAGACGCCATATCGATCGGAAATGCTGCTTACTCGGCCCATAGAATTAGGTGAATTTGGTTACAATCATTAAACAATGAATTATCGGCTCCGTGAAGCTTACACGATTGAGCCTGCCAAACAAACGAACTAGATAATAAAATAGAATGTCAGAATAAAAGGTTAGATTTTCATGCCGTCTATGCAGATGGGTTTTGAACTAAAGTAATGACCAAATTTTGTCAGTCTCTTTTTGAGCCAAAAAAGTACGTTGGCAAAAAGAAAAAAAAAATACGCGTTCAAGAAGCATTTAGAAAAGATATTTATCTTTTATCAATTTACCATTTATATTTAGAGTGCTTAAGACAGAATTTGCATGGAGTTAAAAGTTGTCCACATAATCAATTCTAGAGAGGGTCTAGTATAAGAGAGGAGAGGACTGACTAGTTTTGAGCCAAACGAACTGTCAAAGCCAGAGCCATTCAAGCCACGCCTATCTTGATTACATTGGCAGTGTTTCAAGAAATCACCTAGGCATAGGTTACCAAGCAAGTTTGTTTTGAATCCACTCCTCTATTATACTAGACACTCTCTAGTCAATTTAGAAATCAGATTAATTAATTTTGCATGCTTTCTCATCCGGTGGTGCAATTTTAGGTGAAAATTACACTGAATATTTGCTCGAGAAATAAATTCAATAATATAATTTCTTGCGCAAATTTTCAAACTGCGGCAAGTGCTTTTGTAAACAATAGCTTCAGACGCCAATTTATCAAAACCCACCCATAGTAAAGCCCTGCAGTAAAAGTATGGACGTCTGTCAAAAGGTGTTCCAATCGAACCATCAAAATGCACCGCTTTGCTCGATTGGAACAGCTTTTTCAGTTTTGTGGGGACAGTCGTCCATACTTTAACTAGGGGGTTTTGGTCCATAGCCCACCCATACAAACTAACACCGCCATGTAGGGGAAGTTTTCTCATTCCTAATTCAAGATCAACAATTGAAAGGGCCTCAACTCCATTTTGTAAACAAACCTAGTAATCTAATCTAATCTAATCTAATACAAACGCAGCCAGTACGAGAAAGCATCCTGGAAAATGATTAGGTTAGATGAGGTCAAATCATTTTTCTTGTCTAATTGATGTTTACAGCATATCTGAGATATGATATAAACATCAATACGGCCAGGCCTACTGCGTTGGATTTGCCGCAAATATGATTCTTGGAAATTAATGGGAACATTTCTTGAATCTACAGGGGTGGAAGGATGCGTGGACATACCGTACCAAACGTTCCGAGTTACTATGTGTAGTTGTGTTTAATGTGTAAATATTTGTACAGTATTGAAGAATCATAAAATAATGCAATGGAAGGATCTTACTGAATTTTCTCCTATGTTGGTAATGATTCTTCCATAAAACATAATTATTTGCAAACAAAAAAAAAGCGATCTCACCCAAATGATCAAGTGGACCTCAAGTGGAGCTGTTCCAGAAAAATTGCTATACCAGCTCCGATGCTTCAAGTGAACATTTTAAAGCCATTCGTCAGTGTGGATAAGAGGCAATTCTCTCACAAGGAGCTGTAGATAGAGATGCATAAGCAGCTTTTGAAGAAAAGCACTTTGAAGTTTGGCTCTGGTAACAGGTTGGGCAAACGGCCTCCGGCAGATTTTGACCGGATCAGCAACCAAATAAAGGGGGAAAAACAGAACAACCGACGGAAAATCGACACTGACTACTTCTTGAACGCTTGGAAATAAATTTTGTCACATAGGGGAAATGTCTCTAATGTTAGCCTATGGATCTAAGATTGGGCTCATCGCTAAAAATCTGCTATTTATCAATTTTATGCCTTGTTCAGACTACAGAGTTATAACATGTTATAGCGCTATCTTGATGGTGGTTTCTGTGTTGCAATTAGTTGACAACCGTTATAACATGTTATAACTCTCCAGTCTGAACGTACTATTATCTAGATGAACGCGTTATTGGGACGTTACTAATGGATATTTTTGGTTGCTATTGAAAATTTAGTCGATTGCTGAATTTATGTATGGGCCCAAATTAGGGACACTTAGGCCGACATTACCTGCATTTCCCCTACTTTGAAGTATTTTGAAATCATAATTGTTCAATTTACGGAAGGAAAAAACGCAGCTGAAAAAACAACACGTCAGATTTTTTTTCCATTTTGAAAACATACCTTGTAAGGCTATTTTCTCGCGAACCGAAACCTAAAACACAATCGTCTAGAGGAGAATTTCCACTACCTGTTCCATTTGTTGGTTTGCGTTGGCGGACTTTGGTTCGCGACAAAATGGCCTTGGAAGGAGTTGAGGCCTTTTCAATTGTTGGCCTTGAATTGTTCGAAACTAGTAAGCCATGAGGAAGACTTCAACACAAATATTTATTCTCGTAACAACCTCTGTTGATTCAAGTTCAATAAAATTTGTTATCTCATTAATTGTGTGTTTGATTCTCCGTTTCGGAGTTAATAGAAAATCAGTATCCCTTTTTCAAGAACCTTTTCAAAGAAGAGTTTCTACGGCAATTCGAAGAAAATTAAGTCCCATCCTCAGGTGAACAAACTGTCGGTTTGATTCCGAACCAGCCGCCTGAAACATTGGTCCTTTCGAACCGGATCTTCTTCTCACAAATTACCATAGGAACTCTTCTTTGAAAAGATTCTTGAAAAACGGATACTAGTTTTCCATTAATTCCGAAACGGAGAATCAAACACAGAATTAATGAGATAGGAGAAATGGATGTAATGTCGGCCTAAATGCCCCTAATTTGGGCCTATACATAAATTCAGCAATCTTCTAAATTTTCAATAGCGACCAAAAATATCCATTAGTACCGTCCGCATTCATCTAGATAAAATTGATAAATAGCAGATTTTTAGCGATGGGCCTAATCTTAGATCCATATGCCAACATTACATCCATTTCCCCTACCAAATTTAATTGAGCTTGAATCAACACTGGTTGTTAGGATAATGAAGTTTTCCTTATGGCTTACTAGTTTCCAACACGAATGATGGTGTTAGTTTGTGTGGACGATCATAAGTTTCTATAAATTTACGTTTGAAGTCATGCACCTAAGTCGGTTTGAATTTTTGTTCGGAAGCCGACACCAAAGCGATGCCAGT